TTCTCTGTATCAGTGGTCAGGCATTTCTACTCAGGCTCTGGCTGCTTTCTAAAGAAACCATAGTGTAAGACATTGCACACCTTTTATGCTCCTAGAATGTATTTAGTTCATGTTAAAGCTAATCTCTGGGCTCTTGCTTCCAGTAAATACCTGACAGGTATAACCCTTACCTGTTCTATTAAAGAAGAACTCCAGGAAGCAATTTTATTAACCCTTGCAGTGGGGCTACCCCCTGCAGTGCAAGGGTTTACTGCTCGTTTTTGTCTAGGTTAAAAAAAAGTTACTCACCCGATGCTTTGAGCCGGCTTGTTCTAAGACCGGTCCTTCCAGTGTCTCTTCCCCTTCACTCCAGCAGTCTAAGGTCTTGTAAATCACCATGTCGATACACAGTATATAGACGTGAACACGCTAAGAAAGATTCCAGTGGTGCAGCGCTTTAGGATACAGGCTGGAGGGAGCGGCTTTTTTTTTTTATTTAAACCTAGACAAAAACTTGCATTTAACCCTTGCAGTGTGGGGGTAGACCCACTGCATGGCTTAAGAAAACGTTTTCCTGGAGTTCTCCTTTAAAAACGAAAAAAAAAATGTATAATGTTATTGTACTTTATTATCTGTATATCATTTATTTAATTTTTTTTTTTGTGTCCATTATACATACTTTGGTCTATAAAAAGCCCAAGACCATGCTCCTTAGAATGAAAATAAGATTCTCCTAACAAGGGCTATAGATGCGCATACATTTATCATCCCTGTAATGTTGTATATACTGTATTTGGGTTACAGAGTTTTTTTTTAAGTATTTTGTTCTTTGGTCCTTTGCTATCATCAGTGAAATACATTTTAGACTTTGCATGACTCCTATCACTGTGTTGTTCCCAACTCTTCATTTTAGACTAAAGTGTTAATATATTATTAGTCAGTTTGAGTTTTATTTTGGTTGGGCACAAATTATAGGCTTGTTATGCCAGGATATATATTCCAGGCACTTAGAAAAATAAAAACTTCAAATGTGCAACATCTCTGCATGGATGCTCCTAGCTAGTACTGGCATAAAAGAGTTCTTAATCCTTTTGCTTGAAAAGTAAGAAGACAGTACTGTGATTGTGTTCACAGGGAGCCTCGTCGGAGGGAACGCAGGAAGGTCATTCAGACGCAGTTTTAGATCTCTCATGGAACAGGCAAATCAGGTAAATCACTGCTGAGCATGTCCCTTCTCTGTTGTGTAGCTTTGTTTTTAATGTTAATCACTATTGCAGGCAGACTGATGGTCATATGTACCCACAAGTCCCAACTGCTGATCTGCAGCAGGTGGCGCATTAGAATAGGTCATGTGATTTCTGATCAGCTGTAATGAGGTTTGCTGGTTCATTTTTAGAGCTTGACACATCCAGATGTAACACGGGTTTGTGATTTGTTGATACATATTGCTTGGGTTGTGACAAAGAATAGAAGAGGCAAAAGGGGGAATGTGCAAACACAAGTTTGTTTAGCTGTTTCTGTATCTACCAGGCACCCAGGGGCGTAACTAGAAATCACAGAGCCCCATAGCAAAATTTTGTATGGGGCCCTGTGATTTCTAGTTACGCCTCTTGCAGGGCCCACTTGAGATCCCACACAGCCCACCTTAGAGTGACCCAGCAGAGCCCACCATAGACTCTCTGTTGTGGTTTCTGTAGGGTCTCTAGTGGGCTGATCACACCCCTGTCAGCCTTCCCCAATGCTGGGCCCCGCCTCCTCTGTCACCGGCAGGCGTCGCCTCCTCCACTGTCGCCGGGCCTGTCCTCTTTCTCCTCCTCCCCCGCTGCCGGGACCTTGCCTCCTCCATCGCAAGCTGCTGGCTGTCACTGACTCAGCAATGGCTGTGAGGAGGAACGCGCTGATGCACAAATCCCTGGCAGGTTGTCAGCGATCTAGACATCGGTGAGTTCCTCCTCACAGCTGCCAGTGACAGCAATGCAATAGCGACCCAGGCAGCCCGCATGGCATCAGGGGGGACCCCTTTGTTCCTCGTTTTGGCCTGTGCCCCTGGGGACCCCTTTGTTCCTCGTTTTGGCCTGGCCCCCCTGTGCCCCATACCGGCCGCCTGGGTCGCTGTGGCAATAGTTCTGCCCTGCAGGCACCCATACAACAGCATACTAGGTTATTTTGGCTCGTTTAGAGATCAAAGGGATAAAGGTTTTCATGCATGTTAGAAGGCTGCTATGTTCCATCTACTGTACCTTGTCATTTATTCCCACCTCCCATATTATTGCTCTATGTATAAGTATACAGCTAGACGGAGGTTATGGTATATGCATGTCCATTAACAACCACTTGCAAATACAAGGGGGGTAAATTGCAGCTCTTATGTAAAATGGTTTTTTCCTTTTAAGTGGAGTGGGGTATAGTTTGACCATAACCAGCACTCTGAAAAATCTCTTCCACCCTGAAATAGGAGGACACACTGGTAGTTCAGCTAAAGGAAAGCTTAGTGTGTTAGCAGCCTAAAGTCTCCATACATGCGCATATAAAATCTACTGGAGGTTTCATCATGCTGTATATCTGTGCCCTCTGCTCTAGATATAATAATCACAGAGCGGTTCAGTGCAGGGCAGAATTGGATGCTTAAAGTTCTTGTAAGGTAAGGGCTTGTTCACACCAATTGCGGTGCGTTCCAGAGTGGTAGCTGCTACAACGCACCACAATCGCTCACAAAACTCCCCCCTGCATTCTGTGGCGGTGCATTGAATTCAATGACACCGCAGCTGAGCCCCCCCGCCCGCAGTGCGATCGGACGCGTGGCAAAACATTGCCTGCGTTCTGTTCCACTGCAAACGCAAAAAATAGAGCAAGCAGCATTTTTTGCCTTTGCAGTTGAACGGAACGCAGGCAATGCTTTGCCATGTGTCCGATTGCACTGCGGGCAGGGGAGCATTGAAGCGGTGCCATTGACTTCAATGCACCATCCCGCCCCAGAACGCAGGGGGAAGTTTTGTGAGCGATTGCGGTGCGTTCCAGCAGCTACCGCTCTGGAACGCACCGCAATTGGTGTGAACAATTCCCAAGTCTGCTGCTTTTGGAAGTAAAGGCTAAGCCCAGATTCACGAAAAGGTTAAAGTGGAACCCCAATTTCTAAATAAAAATACCCAGCAAACTAGTTGCATCATAAACCATTATTTACTGAGTGGCTTTTACTTCCAATGTATTTAGATTACTGCCTACTGAAAGCATTTATTTAATTCTGACTGATGGCTTGTCTGCTTCTGCATTTTGCAATCCATTAAGAAGCATTTGATGCAATTTGCTTGATGAAAAGCACATTTTAGCTTCATGGCTGATGGGGGAGAAAAATCTGTTTTTAATACTGCCTCTCTTATTCCAGGAAATGTTTATTATAATTATTGTGTGTTTTTGTTGGGAGGATTTTCTTTTTCCTTCCTAGCGTTTGATCTTAAATCTGTGTGTCTTTTATATTAACATTGAAATAGTAGTACTGTACATGTCTGTTATTTACAGATAGGTTTAACTATTACTCATGCAATTACTGGGAGCCAGTATGATGGGGGATATAGGCCACAACAAGAACACATGGCTCTGTCTCCTGCTTAGGGCCACTGCATAATGGCAACAACAGTTGTGAAATAGGCTATCGCTAGGATGGCACAGACTGTGATGAATCTGTACATTGTTCTGCTGTCTTTGTGCTTTATTATAAAGCTAGCCATACACTGTTGACAATTTTGTTCAAATCCTTGTTTGGAAATCGCTCAGGTGTTGTGTGAAAGGGGCAAAAATGAATGTTCTTCATGTATTTTTTCTTTTGGCCGAATATTCTTTAAAAGACTCATTTATAAAGAACAGAGGTGAGCTACTAGATGGAGCTGAGGATCATCGGAAACAAATACATGTTATTAACAAGCTGCAATGTTACAATTCTAGAGACTGCTGGAAGGAATAAGGATATCAGTGTAACCATTGCTACTGTGGGGAGAGCAATGGTTACAGTCATATGCTGATTCTTTCCAGCGGTTTCTTGAATTGCAGCGTTGTATCTTCTTGCTAACATGTATTTATTCCCTATAATCCTCAACTCCATTGCTAACTTGCACAGAACAAATGTACCTAAAGTTTAGTTGGATGAATAAGCTATGTGTATTTTTATAAACAGTGTTTTCATTTTTTAGTCTTCCCAAGCCCTCCAAGAGTTTTATATCCTCCCATGTTCTAATGCCACGTTATATCTCATATGCTAATTATAATTTATTTCTTCTTTTTATCCAGAAATGTCTTGGGCAGTGCCTCCGCAGATAACACAGTTCTTCTCTGGGATATGTCCGTGGGTAAACCAGCTGCCAGCCTAACAATGCACACAGACAAGGTACAATGGACACACAGGTTTTGATTCTGGTTGCTGTTTATTAGTTATTTGCTTTTTTATCCTGCAGCCATATAAAAGGTTACGTAGGGAAGTGAGAGGAGGGGTTGATGCAGGGCCATCCTTACACTTTTCGCTGCTTAGGCCGGCTGGGGTGTGGGGTGACGCACATTACCTGGGGGGGTGGGGACGGAAGGTGGCAGCACATGTTATGGGGGGTATCACAGTGCCACTGTCCAGCATCCTGCCCAGCTCAATGACGTCAATGGTTGCCAGGAGCTGGGCAGGACGCCAGCCGGAGTGTCCCACTCAGCTCCTGGAAACCAGTGCAGTGAGATCAGTGAGCAGGTCAGGATGCCGGCCAGAGTGTCACAGGTTGCTAAGAGCTGTTGGCAACCTGGTACGCTCTGGGCAGAAAGGGGGCTGCAAACACACCTGACACCAGCTCCCTGCGTGACCCAGTAAGATGCCATCTAAGCAAATGCCTCAGGCTGGCTCATTATAGGGTTGGCCCTGGGTGGAGGAGCTTGGTAGACACTCCCAGAAGAGAAGGGGGCTATGATTATTACTGGTGTCACATTTTCTAGTAAGTTGGTGACCGTGAATCAGTCCATAAAGCCATGATCATGTGCAAAGTCATATGCAACCAATCCTGTTTTTCATTAACAAAATAATAATGTTTTAAGCGGCATTCCAGAAAGATATGAAACGCACACATTCATGCATCATTCGTTAACCGTTTTGCTGCTGCAGACGTATGCCAACAGCAGCGGACTCTTGTAAGCAGATCCATTGGGAGTCTGTTTACATAAATAAAGCTGACGGTTGGCTTTATACCATTCAGGGCACATTAACGCTGTTTTCCGATTAGCCCCAATATATTTTGCTCTCAAGCTAATTCATTTTTATCTTGTAGGTACAAACATTGCAGTTCCATCCATTTGAGGCACAGACGCTTTTAACTGGGTCCTTTGACAAGTAAGTGCATCTGATCTTAAAGAACATTTTTCACTAAAATGTTGTGTGTACACTGTACCAGTACTTTGTAAATCTGTTTATTTTTAAATAATACTTTTTGAAGAAAGTGTTGACCTCCAAAATATCTTTTTTTTTTTAAATCGGATGTAAACCCTAAAGCTGTCCATACATTGTTATATATATTTGTATTCAAACCGAAAATGTTATTTTCTCAAATGTTTAAATATTTTATTTTTATGATAGTCGCTCTATCTAAAACTGAAAAACGTTTTGGGTTTGGATACACTTTAAATACCTGGAGCAAGTACAGGGGTGTAGAATTCCTATCGCCCGACGCCCGGGACAGGCAGTGTCGGGCGAGTAGTTTTTTTCTATATTTAGCCCGGCAGCGGGCAACCAGCACAGCTACATGTAGTATGGGAGCCGTTCCGTACAAGTGGTTTTGAACGGCTGTACAGCCGTCCAAAATCACTTGTAACGAGCCTGAATCTCACTCCCCTCGCTCCCCCCTCTCCTCCTCCCCCCTCTCCTCTATCTAAAGAGAACCTGTCACCTCCAAATGCTTTCACACAGGGGCTTGTTAGCCCTTGTGTAATGGCAATAAAGTTAAGTGAAAAAAAAGCAAAAAAAAATGACAATTAAAAATGTAAATACATAAAACTGGAAAAAATAAAAAGTTGATAAAGTAAAAAAAAATGAGAATGAAAAATAACCAATATTAGATTAGTAAAAACAAAAAGTAAAAAAACAAAAACCCTGCTGCACCCACCATCTGCATGCATGGGGTATTGTGTGCGATTGGAGTGGGTGATCCGTTGCATGGCAATTGTGCACAAAATCATGTGGATGGCCTAGCAGTCACAGAATCACATACCACCGCCGATCGCACTGGCGGTGCCATTATTGTCTAATGGCACCCCAGTCACGCCTGGCAGATTGCGCGGTTTCCCGCCACAATACTGCCCGTGCAATCAGATATAATCACGGTTTAAAACACTGCATGGTGCGTGTTGCGAAAAAAGGTACATGTACCTTTTTTCAGTGATTGCCACACGGATGTAACTCCACTGAAATCAATGGGGCCGCGCGGCAACTGCTGCATGCAACCGCACACGATCGCCCAAGTCTGCACCAGCCCTAAAGGGTAAATTCACTTTCCCAAGTAATTTGGAAAAATGGAATTACCTGCTCAAATCTTGCCCCGTACCCCTCCCGCTATACTTACCTTTCAGGGAACAGTCCTTCCCATCTGCCAATATGGGTGTACCATCTGTAATTGTGCCATGTATTCTGACTTTCGCTCGCAAATTGCAAGCACTCGTTGGTCAGCGCAGTCACCTGACGCCACTGACCAATGAGAAACTCTTCTTGGCACTGCTAAATACGGTTTGGGTAAAATAATTTTTTTTGTATCAGGACAAGTAGATTGTCATGAGGGACAAGTAGATGGGGCCCGCGCTTTAGTCCTTGGACAAGTAGTTTTTTCCAAAATTTCCACACCCCTGAAGTATGAGGCAGCTGAATGAGGGGTGTGCCCAACATTGATGTGAAATGAAACCTGAAATAATTGATGTTCACCTTGTGGCCTTCTATATAGGTCACCACTTGAAAATCATGTGACCGTACCTGAACGTCAACAGCTTGTGTTCAGCTGTCTCAGTAAATTCCACTTTGGTGCATATTTTTTCATCTTTGGAATAGCATCTATTTTTCAATGATAACCAAAGGCAAAATCGCCATCAATATAACAAAATGTTCCAGAAATAGCCTGTGCCATCTGTTAATTTTGCTGGACGGACCTCGAATGCAATTTTCAGGATGTGACTTTTCTGTCACTGAGCGCGCTGACTGCATGAACCGCCGGCTCGCCTGGGACCTCGTCTACCTCGGCAACAGATGGGTCCATGCTGTTGTTGTTAGAACATTTGTCTAGCTCGGCCCAGCTCTTGGTAGAATGTGAATTTTATTTCTCGATGAGCAGTGCAATAAATTAGGCTGCGATCCGTCTCTTGTCACATGGAGCACCGAGGTGTCGGATCTGAAATGCATAGTGCATACTCTAGTATGAGTTTTTTTTGCACTTGGTGCTCAGGATGCTGCAGTGTCCCATCTTGCGTCTCGGTAGAATTTCTAATATCCTTTCCTCCATCCTTTAAAAGCTGTGGAGTATTTTTAGTAGATCTTTTCAGTTGTAATTTCTGTCTGTAACATGTTTAATGGTTGCTGCTCAGTCTGTTCATGATGATATTTTATAGATTGAATCTTCCTCCTGCCAGACAATTGCAGTTAGCCATCTTGTTGCTATAAGAGGTTATTTGATGAGACCTTTTGTTTTCAGCCAATCAGGGTCTGACTGATGAGACTTGCTCTGACAGAGAGCAGAATTAAGGCCGCTTCACTTTCTTTTAAGTTAGCCATACACGGCTCAAAATTAAAGTCATGGATGGTTCTGTCAGCACCACATGGCTTGACAAAAGTCGATTTGAAAATCGACTGACCTTGGCGACAGGGGAAGAGGAGTTTGTGGCCGGCGGCGGTGGAGGATGCAGCCATTGTGTGGGGATCCAGACAGCCATCGGTGCAGTGGCTATCTGAATACTATAGCCAGATTCTTCCTTCCATGCTGTTTAGCCCACTGGCTGAAGGACAGATTCGTTGGTTTAATGCACTATAATGTAGAAGTGGGAAATGGATCCTATGCTGCTCAAAAGAATAAGCACAAAAAGTATTTTTACAAACATGCAAGTTTGCCTGATGGGGAGTTTTGTGTCTTAGGATAGGGAACCGCTGTGAGATCCAGCCAATCTGGGGGCCAGGGTGTGCGAGGAAGAAGCAGCATAAGGAACCAATCAGCTTATGTGCTGACAAGAAGCATGCTGATGGTAGAGAGCAGAGTGACAGAGAGATGAGCTTATGACTGTGCTGATTCTCCTTTCACTGTCCAGTCATAGAATGGGGAGGGTCCAAAATGACGGGGGCTCAGAGGAAGTGGGTTGAAAGATGCTGGTTCCCTATTAGACTAGGTAAAAACTCTGGATTGAAGGTGAATATTGCCACAAAAGCTGGTTGTGTTTTTTTATTTTGTAGTAGGCTATTCACTTTTATCTTGTTCTGCTTTAAACATGCTAATGATTCCTAATTTGATTCTAGACAGCCCGATTAAAGGGACATTATCTAATGTCTGTAGAAGTATTAAAACTAATCTGGACATTGGTTGTGGACATTGAAGTATTTACATATTCTCAACAAGCAGTAGATGAGCTTGAAAATATATATACTACTCACTGAGCTCTGTAGCTGCAGGCACATTTGCTGATTAACTTCTGCATTATGCCTACCTGGAATTCAGCTTTAACTGCTTGTGGTCTGCCTATTCTATATAAACGGACAGACTCGCTCTTGCTCTTCCCAGTGGGTTGCTATAAATAAACAGTACTTGTCAAACAGTCAGCGACGGCTGTTTCATACAAGTGGTCGGGCAGCTATACCGCGTCCCAATCGTTTGTATAGTGCGTAGAAGTGTATGGACCCAACCCACCTAAGGGCTAACTATCCCGGGCTCCGCTGTCCCTCATGCAGGCCCAGAACTGGCATGGTGGGTCTCCGCACTGAGACTGGAGGAAGATCCGTACACTTCCACTGGCTGATCTCCCCTCCGATCACGACCTGGAACATACACATCACTTTCACTTGCAGCATGTAATTTCTCTGGCTACTGTAGCCAGAGGAGAAGCTGGTGAAGCAGATCTCTACTTTATCAACTTCTTTGAGGGTCCCTAGGTGACATTAGGGGTCTGATAGATCCCTGATGACTCCATAAAGGAGACCTGTCACATTCCTAATTTGAAGTCACATTAAAAAAACAACCTAAACACAAATGTCCCCTGCTCCCACATCCACACACATACAAACATTGGGTCCCCCTACATGCGAAAAACATTATTGGGCCACACATGTTTTATAACACTGCAAACATCGGAGTCCAATTCTTGGGCCATCAATCACTGTTAACACTAAATTGATGAGCGGCAAAATATTTTGAAGCGTCGCCTATGGGAAATTTTGGGTATGGTAGTTTTCTGCAATTTCACGGGCGCATTAAATTTTATGTTTGTTGTCTATTTACCTGACGTGAACCTGTCTTTTTTTTATATTTTACCAAAAAATTGGGTGTCAAATGTTTCGTAACATAACATAGGGAAAACAGTTTTTTAAAAACTTTGGTACTTTTTTTTTAATATATTACAAAATCCAGAGGTGATTAAATACCAGCAAAAGAAAGCTCTACCTGTCCCAAAAAAATATCACGTTAATTTTGCTACGGCGTGGCATGGCTGAATAAGTGTCAGTTAAAGTACCTCAGTGCTGAATACTGAAAAAGGGCCTGGGCGGGAAATGGGTTTAACACCCTGGTCTTCAAGTGGTTAAATCAGTGCTCGGATTTGTTCCTACTTGTATCTCTGGGGAGCAGAGATTGTCGCGTACATCCCTTTGTTCTGTTTTGGCTCCCCAAATTGCCTTGGGTCTACATGACATCCCACTTCACGCCCTAATTTGTGTCTTAGTGGCGGAAATTAGCTATCAATCCCATTGACATCCTAATATGCCTTTGTGGATATATTTCACTCAGCCTGTGAAGCTCGAAGCACTGCGATCTTAAAAGCAACTTAGAAATGTCAAGACACATGAAGTCTCATGAAGTGTGAAATGAATAATATTGCTGATTTTTTACTCTGTGGTATTGTCTGCTCTTTATTTCTTAGATCGGTAATATTGTACGACTGCCGGAGTCCTCAGGAAAACCACCGGACGTGGAGATTCAGCGGGGAGGTTGAGAGAGTGACGTGGAATCATTTTTCTCCCAGAAACTTTTTAGTAAGTGTTTTTGGCATTTTCTTTAGAGCAATAACGTACTTCATATTTGCAGTTTTGGCGTACTGGAATCTCTAAAATCAAGTATTACTATTCCGTTTTGTTAATAAAACCCACAAAGCTTTGAAACTGTCTTTAAAGCTAAAGTGTTCTGCTTTTATTATGCTTACTGATACAGCCAGGTAACTAGGCTGTATATCCTCAAGACAATAATAATCCACTGCTCAGCCCGATCATGCCACAAATATTGGATGGCCCACCCTTCCTGTCCATGGACGGGGGGGAAAAACAATTGTTAGAATTCCAATAGTGCAGTATAGTTTATTAAAATTTAAAACAAAAATATTTTCCTGATGATAATTATATACTGTTTTTATCCCATCCATGGTATGAGAGGGCCGAGTTGTTGAGCCAGCTTCTATTTGTGGCATGATTGGGCTAAGCGGTGGCGTTGCGTATATACAGCGAAGTTATCCGACATTTTTGGTAGGATCATCAGGTATTTTATAAAAGCTGCAGATTTTAAAAATCTAAAAAAATATATATATTTCTTTAACATGATAAAATTTGTTTGAGATTTTAGATAGATTGGGTTTAAAAAATGAGTCCCAGCATTCTGCCATTTTGAGCCTGCCGTCACAAGAAGATGCCAGACAGAACAGTGTGTATTACATGAAAACCAGTATGATTCCTGCCATTTTGTTGTCTGGCCTGTGTGTGGTATTGAAAACCAACAGGATTTCCCGTCATATTGTGCCTGGCCTGTGTGTGGTATGGAAAACCAATAGGATACCCGCCATTTTGTTGCCTGGCCTGTGTGTGGTGATGAAACCCAATAGGATTCCCACCATTTTCTTTCTTGCCTGTGTGTGGTATTGGAAAACAATAGGATTTTTGTTATTTTGTTGCCTGGCCTGTGCATGGTATTAAAAATCAATAGGATACCCGCCATTTTCTTTCTTGCCTGTGTGTGGTATTGAAAAACGATAGGATACCCGCCATTAACTTTCTTGCCTGTTTGTGTGGTATTGAAAACCAATAGGATTCCCACCATTTTGTTGCCTGGCCTGGAAAGGGGAAGGTAGTTGGTTGCTGTATGTAACACAGGCCTTTTCTTCCAGGCCCTTTCAGTCGGGAGGTCCCTTGAGGCCTGCTGATATTTCCTATATAAAATGGAGGCGTAAGAGGTGAAGAGTGCCAATCTGCTGTGTTGAATTTACCTCAGAATTCGGCACGAGAGATCTAAAAACAGCGGCTCACGCTCTTCTTTATTCCCTGCAAATGAAATCCCTCCCTCATAAATAAAACAGACACTTTTAGAGTCAGGCTGCCTGTAACGCTTCCCATGAAAAATTGCTCGCCCACCGCACCGGTGTTTGCTTTTAGTCCTGAACAAAATGTCTCCGCAGTGTATTCCTAATCATATTTCTTTGTAACATTGCAATTGTCAGTATTTTCTCCTGATCTATCTCTCTGGCTAAAGGTAAAATATGACCTCGAAGGACATGATAGAAAAGCATTATGTACGTTTGCACGGCTCTTCTTTTCAATTGAAACCAAGATTGCTCCATATTGAGATGTACTTTAGAAGTTATGACTCCACGTGTGAACCGCTCAGCTTCGTTCATTGTCCGTGCACTAGGGGGGCTCTGTTCCTTCTAAGGCTGTGACTAAACCTAGCCTGCTGTTTATTAGCACTTGCATGCTTCCATTGTCGGAGTGAAAACTGAGCAGCCAGTGTTTTTTGTTTTTTCTTTGTAGAATTTAACCTAAACTTGTTATAAACACAAGCTCCATTCATATAGGGACTTATGTTGTGTCCAGGGATTCCTGCCACAAGAACCTACAGATTTATATGCTCACTTTCAACTGCCTAAGGCGGCATTCCTACAAGCCTTCTGGAATTACTGCATCAGGAATCCCAGGTGTGCCTGTTCAGATGCGACCGCTCTGCCCGTTCAAGTTAATGACAAGGTGACAGCGGCAGTTCGCATGTAATCGTATGATTAGCTGCAGTTCAGAAGAGATGATCGTCTTTGGACGCAGGATAGATGCATCCAGGGACAATCCTCAATCCCAAACCACACTTAATTGTATCGCGTACATTTACAAGTGGCCAGCTGCTGTCACCCTGTAATTACCTTAAAGTAATAGTTGATTGTAATAGACCCCTAGTGTCACCTTTCCACTTCCCTGGGGAATGACAGCTGCTTGCTGAGGCAGTTGAATGTAAATACAGCATGCAGTGGCTGGGAGCAATAGCCAGCTCCCTATTGGCTATTGTAAATTACAATAGCAGGTTGGCTATTGCACCCGCCCACTGCCTGCTGTCAATCAGCAGAGGGGGAAACTGAGGCAGAAAGGGACGCGGACTGCTGCAGCCAGCACCAGCGGGGAGGAGACCGGAGGAGCAGAGCGGCAGGAGCTGCAAATAATCGAACAATCAACTAATCGATAATGAGAATCGTTGAAAACGATTCTCATTATCGATTATAATTGATTAGTTGTTGCAGCCCTAAAATACATCTAAGGCTGGCCACATACCTATCAATTTTTTTTCGTTCAACCCGCGGGCTGAACCAAAAAAATTGACGCAATTCCTCCATTAACACAAACTGTGTGTTGATCGAGGAATCGCCGCTGTTTGCATTGTATTCTGGGAATTTTGTCTGGTACATAAACTGTCCAAAATTTGGCCAGTGTATGGGCACTTTAAGAGCTATTTAACTGACAAAGGATTTGTATATGTGTCCATCCAGTTCTGAGATGTACACATATCTGCCACACAGCACAGCCCTGTCTGGCAGGCAGGAAACCTGATTTTTCTCTACTGCAGTTAAGTAACATTTACAGGGATTGTACCTCCCACAGCCTGTGACTGGACAGTAAAAGGAGACGCAGTATCCGCTATCACCTTTCCTTCAACTAAGAGACACTGTCTTCTCCCGAGAATAGTACTTAGTCGCAGAGCCTTAACGTGCAGAATTGTTACGGCTGAATGGGACGGTTGATGCACCAACGACTGTACTAAGCTGTCATGTTATTCGGAGGTGAATTTTTCAGTCGGGTTATGTTACCTTGATGCGGAGTAATCCGTTTTATTACGAGTTCTGTGGAATTCATGCCCATGCTCTGTAACAACATACAATGTTTTTTTCTTTGTAATTGACTTTTTTTTTTCTCAGTCAATAAAGAATAAAAACAAAAAAAAAGGAGACGCAGTAAACTGATGAGCTCATCTTTATATTATGAGCCTGTCGTTTACTGCTTCTTCTTTCACTGTCCAGTCACAGGCTGTGGGAGGTACAAGACTTGGAAGTTCAGACCTATCAGCATGTTCCTTGTTGGCGCATGATCACTGCAGCACAACTGATTGGCTACCTGTTAATGACTACAGAGCTGAATTAATTTCAGCTTGCAAATGAGCCTACGATGATGGCTTATGAGCTGGAACTGCGGACTTTCTGTCATTCTGATCTTGACTCCCAAGCTAACTAGTCAATGACCTGAATCAAGTATGCAGACCACCAGTTCAGAATGTACTTCAATGGCCACATGCTTATTCCAGGTCTGTGAATCACTGGGGGTTAAAGCCCCAGGAACAGTTTGTTTCTGATTCCGATCATGATCTGTTCCATTTTACACCAAAGCCTTATGCAACAGCACCGTGTTATCCAAACACATTTACATAAGCCAAGCTTCAGTAAAGTTTATTTAGCTTTTTTTTTATATTTCTGTATCATTTTAATTATGTACAGCCAAGTCGGTTGCTGTGCCTGTAAAGCACAGATTGCACACGCTGCACTGTAAACAGTTTTCAGACACCGCTCCGCAGAGAGTGAGGTCTTGTGTGCCCGAGGCACAGAGTGATGGAGTGCTCTGCCTTAGATCATAATCCGTTGCAATGGGAATCCGCTGATGTTATTGTGCTGTGGACTTTGCAGTATAGTGACTGCCATGACCAACTGTGTCACGGTACCAGGCTAGTAAATGATTTGGTATTACATTACTTTTCCTTTCTCGTTTTTATGATATATATTGTTTTTTCTTACCGTCTCAGTGTTGCGTCACTTACTTTTTATTATTTCACATGTTGTATGGGGGGAATTTATCAAAACTGGAGCAGATTTGCATGGCAACCAATCAGCTTCTATCTCTTATTTTCAAATCTTACCTGAGCAAACTGAAGAGTTGCTAATTGGTTGCCATAGGCAACTGCTCCATATGCTGTCTGCTCCAGTTTTGATAAATTTCCCCCAGTGTGTTTTACAAGGAAGAACAAAAAAGCTACTGGAATCAACCTAACCTTCTTATTACTGCTGGTCATGCAAAGTTATAGTGTATTTAATGCCCAAATGTTTCTTTTTCATTTGGGATTTTTCATTTTTTTTTTACTGCCATTTGCTCCCATTGAAGATAATTTCCTTCACCTTCTGTTTTGTAGACACAACAGCAAGGGAAAGGTCCGAGGGAAATCCCTTCTTAGACATTTGACATGGCAACAAGTGTCCCTATGGTCACAAGAAAGTGGAAAACATGAATGGGTGAGCGGAGTCATTACATGCTTCCTGATTGGCTAGGAAGCTGGCTCCATGCTCCCTAGTCAACAGGGAGCATGGAGCTGGCTCCCCCGCCAATCAGGAAGCTGGAGGGCAGGTAATGACATGCCCCCCCCCCCAGCTTCCTGATTGGCCGGGAAGCCGGCTCCATGCTCCCTCGTCACTTGGTGTACAGGTGTCTAATGACTCGTCACTTAGCCTCCTGATTGGTTGGGAAGTTGGCCAATCAAGAAGCCAGGCGGCGAGCCATTACCCGCCCCCCGGCTTCCTGAGACAGCTGGCTCCATGCTTCCTCGCCACCTGGTGATGAGGGAGCATGGAGACGGCTTCCCGGCTAATATGGAAACCCGGCGGCGAGTCATTACACGCTGCCTGGCTTCCTTAATCAGACTTTCGGTCACACATTTTGAACATCTGTACACAGTTCATAGTTTACCTTTTAAT